AGAGAGAGAGAGAGAGAGAGAGAGAGAGAGAGAGAGAGAGAGAGAGAGAGAGAGAGAGAGAGAGAGAGAGAGAGAGAGAGAGAGAGAGAGAGAGAGAGAGAGAGAGAGAAACTAGAAGACATTTGAATAAATACAATGGTGATCCACCTTGAGATAAAGTATTACAAATATTCAAGACTTAGAAAACTCAACAATTAGAAGACAAGTGACCACTGTTCAAAATGACTTTCTATCTGACAAAGAGCCTGATGGTGGAATTTCTTTGCTTCTCTCTGGGATATTTTATTTTATTATTATTTTTTTTTTGGTCTTTTTGAGACAGGGTCTTCCTATAACCCCAACTGGCCTGGAACTCACTGTGTAGATCAGGCTGGCCTTGAACTCAGAGATTTGCCTACCTTGGCCTCCTGAGTGCTGGGATTAAAAGTATGTGCCACCACACTCAGCTCACTGGGGTATTTTAAATGATTTTATTGAGACATGGAAGTTTCCAGAGTTATTACTATAAGGGACCTACTCTTTTGTCCCTGTTTTCCCAACCTTGGCTACTTTAGGTGTAAATCACTGAAGTACTCATAATGAAAAGGAAAAAAAAATGTCTTCAAAGCACTTTGATTGGGTATGCTGAAGCTCCAGCACAGGCTGGAGTCTGGCAAGGAAGTACCTCGAATCTTGGAAGGACAGCTTCAATATCTGATCCCATGTCCAGTGGGTAGGGCCTGGCAACTTCTTGAGCTTCCTACCAGCTTGAGAATGCCACAGTTTTATAAGATAGAAAGAACACGGTGTATTCAAAAAAGCTGAAACCAAATCCTTAAAAAAAGTCTAGAAATGGCCGACGTGCTGGTGCATGCCTTTAATCCCATCACTTGGGGGCAGAGGCAGAAGGATCTCTGTGAGTTTGAGGCCAGCCAGATCAGCTGGGGCTACAGGGAGACCCTGTCTCAAAAAGTCTAGAAATGTACCAGGAATAAAAAGAAGCCTAATGAAAAAAAAAAGTATATACATTATGTATGTATATACTATATATGTATATATATATGTGTATATATATATATACACATAATGAATTTCTTTTTTTGTTCTGGCCTCTTCTCACTTCTCCATCCTAGAATTACCTAATTTTGTTCAGGAAGTTGAAGTTGAACAAAATTTCACCTAGGCAAAGGCAGAACTCAAACATGCCAGATCAGATTTTTAAGTTAAGAATTCTACCATGCTGGAAATAGGATAATGGGATACTTGTGATGAGAGCCCACAGTGGGGCTAACTGGAAGAAAAGGAACCAGCTGGAGCGGGAGGGACATGGGGAAGATCAATAGGGGAGGGGAACAATGAGAACAAAATGTAAAAACAAACAAGTATGTGTGAAATGTCATGAGCAAAACCATTCTGTTGTATGCTAACCTAAGGCATCAATAATAACAGTAATAGCTATAGCTCTCTACGAAGCATCCAGGAGGCACTGAAAATGAAGCAGTCAAAGGCCAAAGTGATCATTTGCATGAATTTTATTGAGATTGGAGCTTTATAGAAGGATGGTAAAATTATTTGCCCAAGGCTTGACAGATAGTGAAAGTTAAAACAATCTAGTTCTTGGAAGAAAATAAAGATAATTATCTTTGTGGCTTTGGGACAGAGATTTCTTTTTTTTAAAAAATGTTAATTTTATTTATTATTTTTATTTTGTGTGTATGAGTGTATTGCCTGCATGTATGTGAGTGCACCTGTGTTGTGCAATGCTGCGGAGGTCAGAAGAGGGCTTCGGATTCCCCTGGAACTGGAGTTAAGGATGGTTTGTAGCCGCCATGTGGGTGCTGGGAATTGAACCCAGGTCCTCTGCAAGAGCAGTCAGTGCTCTTAACCACTGAGCCATCTCTTTAGTCCTGGGATAGAGATTTCTTAAACAGGGCATAAAACACTAGGCATTAAGATAAGATTAACAAATTGATTCATTTAAAATGAGTAACTTTTTTTTTTTTGTATTTTTGAGACAGGGTTTCCTTGTAGTTAGCCCCAGCTGTCCTGGAACTCACTAGGCAGACCAGGCTGGCCTTGAACTCCCAGAGATCTAACAGCCTCTCCCTCCTGAGTGCTGGGATTAAAGGTGTATGCCACCAAGCCTGACTCAAGAACTCATATTTAGACTGATAACTCCCTGTGGGCAAAAGATTTGAACAGACATTTCCCTCATAAGCACTAATAGATGATGCAGAGACCCGAAAGTTCAGTGCCTTGCCCTCTTCTAACTGCTACCGGCCTTGCATGACATGGGTGCACCTACCTACATGCAGGTATTACACTCACATACAGAAACAACTGGTCATACTCTGACACTGTCTATGAATTGCCCAGGCCTAAGTGACACATCTAAAATGCAACCTCTATACTTAAGGCTCATGGAACAGGGTTAAAGAAGAGGACACTAATGACCTCTCAGCTCTATTAACAGTGCTCCCTAATGCAGCAGAGGGCCAGGAACACAAAAGGTCACAAATGACCAAAAGCATAGAGATCAAGAGTCTGCTGAATGCTGGTCCTTGAAAAGGTCTCCTTTATTAAATTCACCTACCCAAGGCTCAGGGACCATCATGGAACAGGAGGCAGAAAGATTGTAAGAGCCAGGGAGGAGGTGCAGGACCATTTGGAAACAGACTCCAACAAGTTCCTGGGAACCTGCTCATATGATTCTATGGCAATGGAGTCAGCATACACAAGTCCTATGCAAACTCAGGCAGACAAAAACCTAGCATAGAACTGGGAAAATGAATCCAGTCGTATCAGACCCAATTGTATCTGAAGCAACAGATTGCTGCTAGGTGAAGAAGAGCTGATCTTCCTAAAACAAGGGACTCTAGATAGGCTGACTAGATGTCAGTGGATAGACTTGCACTGGGGAATGTCTGGGGACAATGACGACACAGTGGACCTTAACAGGGATGACAGAGTATATGAGCTCCTGTGGGGGAACTATGGAAGGGTGCCAGTGTGGACAGAGGTATAAAGATATTTAAGACTGTTTGAGATGTTCTGTATGAAATACATAAAAATTCAATAAATTTTTTTAAAAAGTTGCTCAGTGCATTGGTCATCAGAGAATGAATGTTTAATTATAATGAAACATGCATCTCTGTTTTTAATTACAAAGCAAAACACTCGGGCTGGCAAGATGGCTCAGAGGATAAAGGTGCATATTGCCAAGCCTGAAGACCTGAGCTGGATACGTGGGACCCATGTGATGGAAGAGGAGTACTTAATCTCATGTTGTCCTCTGACCTCCCCCTACCCGCTGTGCGATGTGTGTGCTTCCCCAGTAATAAACTGTGATTTAGAAAACACCTGATACCAAAATGGTAAATATGGAGCCACCAGAAATCTTAGAGCACTGGTTGGGAACATAGTTATATCACTTTTTCCCTTTAAAAAATTTTAACTATTTTTCTTTTGCTTTATAGTTGGATATTGTGTTGCTTTTAATTTTTCTTCATTTTTATACCTCAGATCACTGGCAATATACTTAAAAACTCAGTAGGTATACACCCTCTGAACCAGAAATTCCAATCCCAAGTACACATGTGACATGAATGCTGTTTACTGAAGGACAGAAAACTGTATCCAGAAGTATCATCACAAAAAGGCAAACGACTGAAGCAACTCAAATGTCTGCCAAACAGTAAAACAAGCACACAAATTGTTGAATAGTTATTTAATGAATACATGCAGTGACAAATGATCCACTATTACATCACAGGAATCAAAGGCAGGAAAGTGTACACCCTGTTTCTCCAACACTGGTGTAGGAGACTCTTCATAGTGGTCACTCTTGTGGGCTACTGAGTGTTTATAACGATGGCTTTCTGATTTACATGGCACTTAGCACACACTTTATATCAAGTAGTGCACGAAGATCTTTTCCTAGTATTGATCCCTACATCTAGCCCATTCTTAGTCCCATCTTACACGTGGGAAAGGGAGGTATATGGAGGACAGGTTAAGTTACTTGCAAAAGCAGGGTGGTAGCAGAGGCCTGTAATCCCAGCATAACGGAGATACAGGCAGGAGGATCAGTTCAAGGCTAGCCTTGGCTACTTAATGACTTACAGGCCTGCCTGGGCTTCAGGAGACAATGCCTAATAAGCAAAACCCAAGCTAAAACAAACAAAAGCAGTTCCTTCCAAAGCCTTCCAGATAGTGAAGTGGTGAAGGAGATTCCCACTCATTAGGCTGAATGCAGAGCCTGGGCCATCAACCACTTGCTGCAGAAGGAAAGGCGGTGTCCTGCCTGCCGTCCCGTGTGATACAACACGGGATAGCCCTGTGGCATTCTAAGGAGGGCTTGTGCTGTTGTGCTCCCGGGTTGATGATAGGTTCCTTGGACCCTCAGTCCCACTAACTGCACATGATGGGGGTCCCTGGCCCGCAGGCCTACTAACCGCACACAGGTGGTCCTGCCCAGAGAACCAGCTGCTTCGCTTTCCCCAGGACAACCTCCTCACCTCCTGCCAATTTGCCTGGCGAATCACAAGGAGTCCCAGCGCCTAGAAACCCTAAGACTTTTCCGACTTCGCAAACATGCCAGAGGCAGGCGTGGACTTTCGCTCCCCAACCCGTGGAGCCAGGGAGAAGCAGCTCGAAAAGCCCCCAAAACTTAGAAAGAAAACGCGCCTGCCAGGGAGCAGAACTTCAGAGAGAAGCCTGAGCCGTAAGGTGTCCGGCCGCCCGAAGTTACACTCCTGGCGCACAGCCCCTCTGTTGCGCCTGCGCAGCGCTACCTTCTTGGGAACCCCGCCCCTTCCCGCTGCCTGACGGTTTACTCGTCTCTCGGCAACCATTGAGCCGGGCAGCCAATCAGAGGCTGGCGTTTGCCCGGGGCCCCCGCCGTCAGCGCAGGGCGGAGGGATCCCTCGGGGCCCTGGACGCCGGGCCCCGCCCTGGCTCCCTCGGGAGGCCGGCGGCGGGGCGGGGGCAGGGGCGGGGAGGCGAGGGGGAGTGGTCAGGACGGATAAGATCGGAGGGGGCGGCGGCCCGACCGCTCACTAGCGGCGGCTGTCCGGGGGCTGTAGTCGCCGCGCAGCTCCAGCGGGGGGCTGCCCAGGCCAACGACCTGCCTCTGTCGCCTCCTCTTCCATCGCCCAGGTGAGTCCACGGCCCCCTCCTCTCCAGGTGTGAGGATGCCGCGGCAGGCGCCGGGGAGCCGCGTATTCCCGCTCCGGGGTCCTTCCGGTCCGACTTTGGTGGGATGCTCCGGGATGCAGGGGAGATGCCAACAGGTGCCAGGACTGGTCCAGCCCCCGCTACAGCCCCTCGTCCCTTGCTCATGCTAATCCAAGTGCCAGAAGAGAGGCTTGGAGACGGAGCTCCAACTTTTTAGAGACTCCGCTGGGGTTTGGTAAACTTGAGCGAGTGCCTGCTGGGCGAGCGCGGAGCACGGCAGGACGGCGGGTGGTGGGCGCCCTAAACTCCCTCCCGGGGGCCCTCGGCTCCCCGGACCGGGGTTTTGCTTGCGGGTTCTCGGGCTCGCCCCTGTGCGCGCACACGGTGGTTGGCGCCTAAGCGAATTCGAATCCGGCGGTTTCGACTGCGCAGAGGGAGACGCAGCGGTCCCGGGGCTAGCGTCTGGAAAGCCAGGGGAGGACCGCGTCCCAGGCTCGGTGCCCGGGACAGCGGCCCAGGTCCTTCTCCCTTCTGGAACTCACACTGGGCTGTGGACACTGCGTAGAGCCAAGTGATCTAAGCTGTGCGTCTCTAGGGAAACTTCTCGAGAATACGGTGTCTGTGAAACCTGGTTCCTCCTCCCCTTTGGGGAACGAAAGTTGCTTACCGTGTGGGCGAAAAGCCTTGCAGTCAGTAGACACAGTTATTGGTGCTGTTGGTGGCGTAGAGGCTCAGCTGCCTCGAGGTTGTCGCAGTCCAGGCCAAAGACTCCTTTCGCGAAGTTAGAAGAGGGTGGGAAGGACGTCGGAGTTGGACAGGGAACCTGGAGTCTGGAGTGCAAGTTGATAGTTCTTGCATACGCCTCACAGTCAGCCTGGGGGGGGGGGGGACTAAGGGTGGGGGGTTGGTAGCGGAGGTGTTGGTGGAGAAATGCTTGGTCAGTTTTCCTAGAACCTCCAAACTCGTGTGTGTGTGTGTGTGTGTGTGTGTGTGTGTGTGTGTGTGTATGTTCAGGGCCAATTCCTAGTCTTAAATCCCCCATAGTTAGGACCGTTGAATTTGCTACAGACTGCTTAGAAGGAAAGACTTATAAAAAGCTTTATAAAGAATAGCTATGGTTCTGGAGAGATGGCTCAGCAGTTAAGAACACTGGTGGTTCTTGCAGAAGATCTGGGTTCGAATCCCAGCACCCACATAGCAGCTAACAACTGTCTGTAACTCCAGTCCCAGGGCATCCGACAGCTTCTTCTGACCTCCATGGGCATTGCATGACCCAGGTGCACTTACCTACATGCAAGCAATACACACACATAAAATAAAAATAATAAATAAAAATTTTTTAAGTTAAAAAAATAGCTATGTATGTAACCATTTGAATTGTGATGAGCTGGTATTCTGAAAAAGTTGAGATGGTTAGATTTTCCTTTATTTGATTCCCAGCTGCCCCCAACTGCCTTGGGAAGGGAGTGGGGTGAGGGTGGCCATTGTTGGCTACACCAACTTACAGTGTCAATTACTTGACAAGGCAGTGAGTGAGCTAGAAAGCTCAGCAGGCAGCCAAGAGGGTGGTAGGAGAGCTTCCCATGCTCTAAGTCACCAGAGGTGATTGAAGTCCTGAGATGGGCCCCATCTTACCCTGCAAGGGTGTGGGATGGGGACTAAATAAGACTGACTTTTCTCTCCCTGTTGAAGGGAGGCATCTGAGCTGGACCAGTAGTGGTCTGGTTCTGTCCTTTGACATTCTTATTTGTGAAGCTGGAATGCTTTGTACCCCTGATGAGATAGCTGAAACCTTGTCCAATTAGTAGTATGGTACAAATGTCAATAAGGAGTTTTTAGAAGGAAGATTTTGATGAATTAATTGTATAATTGTTCCAGGATCTGCGTTAGCCTTTAATATCAACGTGGGGTGTGTGTGTGTGTGTGTGTGTGTGTGTGTGTGTGTGTGTGTGTGTAGGTTCCGGGATCTCTAGATTGTTACCAAAAGAAAGGTACCTAATTTTATGAGTAACTTTAGTACATGGACCTAAAACAAACAGCTACACTCTTTAGGCTGAGTTTTTTTTCCCACAATACCTACCTTGTATCTAGAGATTAAGTTTGTGAACTCTGAAGGGAAGGACTTGGCTCTTAGCCTGCTGGTCAGAAGGAGTGGGGGGTGCCAGGAGCTGGTCATACTTGGTGCCTGCAGCCCTATAGACATTCAGCCTCCCCAACCTCCACCCTGCTCTCCCAGGCAGGCATACACTTAGTCCCTAGTATCAAGGCCAGGGCAGACTATGTGCCTGGCATTGCCCATCAGAAAATCCTGGAACAGCTCAGCAGTACAGATAATTTAAAATGGGCCATTGTGCCCTATTGTACTATTAGGTAGACCCAGTTGCTTCAAAGTTGGAAAACTACATTTGAACTTTTTTTTCCTTCTTTGTTGCATTCCTGGATCAGCCACTGACTGGCCCCCTGAGTGCAAGTGTCATCATTTTGCATTATTAAGAGAAGTTACAAAAACACAAGATTTTTTTTTAAGAGTTAAGTTAAATTTGTGTTACTTTGGGGTTCTTGATCTTCTGCCTGTCTCTGGGCTGTGCCTGTTACTGTGTGTGTGTATCTGAGGAGTTTCTTGGGTAGACTGGTGAGAGAAAGTCTGCTGCTGTTTCTCACACTGAGGTAAACAGCAATATTGGAAAGGTGCTTTCCAGCATGTTGGTGTTTTGACTGTAGTTTATTAATTGGCATAAATTGTATTATGATAAAGCAGACTCCTGCACAGTGAAAGGAGTGTTCATGTTTTTAAACTACTAGAGCACACAACAGTAGAGCTGATCTCTGATGGTATTTCTGGGACCTAAGATTTCTCCAATGTTTTTTACCTTTTGACTGTGCACATTCATTATATTTAGAATTTAAATGGTTTAGAGGAAGCATCTTTACATAATCCAACTATGTAAGGAAACCTTATGAATTGCTTCAAATTAATATTTTGTACAGCTGGCCCTTGTAGCTTGTTCTAGAAATGTTTGCAGAACTTTTTTGGAATAATAGGGGGAAAAAAACAGTCTGAAGAAATAATTGCTGGTGTGAAGCAACTCTCTTTGTAAGGATGTTTTTCAGTTTCAGGGCATTTTAGAGTGCTGTTCACTAAACTAAGTCTTGTTTATTTCTTGGTTAACAGTGATTCGGTCAATAAGTGCTTCCTAGGTGGTGCTTGGTGCCAGGTGTTGAGGAGGTCAAGGGAGTGGTATAGGAAAGGCCTGTGAAGGTGTTCTGGGTGTGAGAGGAGCTGGGCTGGCTTTGTGATGCTCTTGAAGAATTTAGTTTGCCTCAGCCCCTAGCATGTGGACTCCAGGAAAGTGGGATTGTAGTCAGAAAAGTGGGATTGTAGTTACTTCAGAATTCCTATGCCTACCTAGCGAGCACATGGCCTTGCACGTAGGTACGCTTCTATTCCATGGAGGCACGTTCTGCCAGGGGTCACCTGCCTTTCCTTATAAAGAAGGAAGCCTCCTTGAAGTGGGTATTCTGATGGGTAAGGCCCTGGATGGAGCTTTGTGGGTCAAAAGTTCCCTATCTAAAATGCTGGTCTACTTTCCAGTGAAGCCTCAGGGGTAGAGGTTTGGAGCTGAGGAGTGACTGTAAATTGATCAACAGCTGAAACTCCTAAGCCAACCCTGCCCAGCCCGCCCTTGAGCACTTCCCCTCCTCACCCCATCCTCCAGGCCCCAGCTCGCTCACTCAGCCTTTCTTTCCCAGTGTTCTTTGAGCTGCTGGTTCTGCTGATGTTTTCTCTTTTGTGTCTCCCACTGACATCACTGACCTGGTTTAGGGGACCATAGACAGAAGCTTGATTTGAACAAAACACGCCTCCCTCCCAGCCTTTGAACAATCCTCAGTCCTGTGCACTTCCAGCATTAGAGTTCCCAGAGACTACCCATCGCTGTGGACTCCCTGCCTTCCTCTAAAACTTGTCTTTTCTGAAATTTTCCTTGATATCCCATGGGCAAGTCTTCCTCAACTGTCCTACCTTGCCCTACAAATACAAACTCAGATATTTGAAAAAAACAAAAACAAAAAAACTGAACTCAACCTCTTCCCCACTGAACTTTAATCCAGCTTTGGGACTTCTATACAGGTCTGATCTGCCATCGAAGGGTCCCCTTATCCCACAGCTCTCTATTTCAGTATCTTACAGGTATCTTGTACATTGTTTCTAAAATTTGAATCTTCAACTGATGGTTTTTTTTTTAACATCACCTGTTCTGTCTCTATACATGGCCTCTATCAAAACATCGAGTGAAGAAAATTATGTCTGAATCTTGAACAGCCCCTTCATCCCATTGGATTGCCCTTAGCTTCTCTTCTCTCCTCTCCCTTCTCCCTTGTAGGATGAGATCAGGCCTCTTCTACCTGGCCTGTGCTTGCCCCTGACCCCACCATGCAGGCGTGGTGATCCAGCCTGTGCTTGTCCCATAGGTGGGCATCCAGTCTCTGCAGCTGCCCAAGGCCTCAGTTCTGTTCTTCGTGTGTAATAACCACCTGGAGATGGTGTAGAAAGAGTGGGATCCAGAAGTGGAGATGCAAACATGAACTGAGGCCCTGGCGTGCGCGCAGATGTTTGTCCTGGGTGGCTTAGCTAGAACCAGCACTGCAGTTGCTCTGTCCCATCCCAGCTATTGTAGAAGGTATACTCACTTCTCCACCATGTAGGCCGCCTTTCTTTGTGGGGACACCAGTGTCCTGATTCTGCCAGATCTTTTACTTCTTCAGGCTTTCATTTTGTCACTGGAATCTGTATAATAGACAGAGCCATTAATGTCTCACAGAAACTGAACAGCAAAATCCAGATAAAATTCACTTAAACAATAGATCTATTTAACTCACTAAGCCAAGCATTTTCATGTCATCAGTGTAAAAATGTACAAAGGAGATATTTTTCATCCTTTCCTTATACTGAGTCCTTGAAATCCTCAATGTATTTTGCATGT